CCTCAACCAAAGCCTTTGGCTCAAAAGCCTAACCGCAAGGCAGTGGTGTTTGGCGGGAAATGCAAATGCATTACCATTTCTACGGAACAAGTTGCCACATGTTCCAACCCGCAACATGGAGGGCCAGGAGACTGTGTTCGTCAGACCTCTAACTATTGACCAACCTGGTATGAGAGACTATGAGTGCCGCGAGACACTCTCCAGTATAGTTCAATGGATCGCCGAGGTGCGCAAACCGTCACACCACGGTAAGGTCCAGTCTCTTCGTGACGGGATACAAAGCATAGCCGCTATAGCTTTTGTTGCTGGACACATTGTTCGATGGAAGTCCCCGTTGTTCCTCGTTACTGATTCACCAACCCCAACCTACACGAGCTATGGTTCTGAGATTGGCCAAGTGGTTAGAACGCGAATTTGCTGACCGGAAGGTCCGCGGTTCGAACCCGGCCTCTGCCTCTCCACTTCCCCTGTCTAGGCTTGGGCAACCTGGTAGTGTCCCAGCCCTCGTGCCTCCTACGTGTGGCATGGCAGCTAGGCACCGAAAGGGTGCTACAGCTGAATGATTTATTTATTTATATTTATGGTTCTGAGACAACGGTTGTCGAATTTTGGACTGTTTCAGTTCCGCTGCTCAAACAGGCTAAGTCTCAAAACCATACGACAAAACAGGATGCACCGTAGCCTGAAATACACTCACCTTGAGGTCTAGGAATATACTACTTTGATGCCATAGGTGTCTCAAATTACCGAACATGACCCGAGCCTTGCAGATTCGTTCATTGACCTCATTTGTCACACTACAATGGGGGCGGGTTCAGTGACCGCTTGTCCAGGACTTTACAATTTGTAGGTGCAAAGTGCATACCCCTGATCAGTTCGTCCAGAAACATCTACACCTTCTCTTCAAAGACGGAAACGATGTCGTTTGTGTATTCTAGATCTACAAGGTCCTTTTGAAGACCTTCCAGCGTTCATCTCATTATGTTGTTGATCACGAACTCAAATAGGAAATGGGGAGAGTGGGCATCCCTGACGGACACCACTTTGTCTACGGAAGCTTTTAGAGGGCCTTGCATATACTCACTAAGACATTTAGAATATGTCCAAGAACGAGTTAGGAGAGTCCGGGTTACCAAGGATATATAACCTTTTGCTTGTCTAAGAACAAGCGTTGATGGGCTGAAATGTACATACGAAGGTTCAACACGAGTATATAAGGCATGTATAATAATAAGCATGCAAAAATCATGACGCTAGCACGCGATCGGAAGTTTGAAAATACAAAATTCCAGCGCATTCCTTGCTTGGCAAGTGTGTCAAAGAGAACAAACAGGTGAACCGAATCTAATGCGCATTGGAAATCCAGAAATATACTAACCATGGGTCGTTTGTATGTTTGGCGTTGTTCTAGCACCTAACGGAGTGTGAATATTTGGTAAAGGTAACCCATACAATGCTGGAACCCCGCTTGCTGCTCTAGAGTTTTCACGGGCTAACAAAGTGACGAAGGACAAGTGGCACCAAGGGTCTTGTTATGACCGGGATCATGCTGATCTCCCCTGTGATTACCGCAATTAACACGAGACCCATTTTTGAAAATGGGCACCATCACCGATTCTCCCCAGTTGTCTTTGAGAGTCTTTCTCCAAATGCAGGCAAACAGATCAGACAAGCGCTGACTGAGAATTCCACCCCGTTTCTGAACAGTGCTGATGGGAGGTATCAGGAAGGTCAGATGCCTGAGAGCAGCCTCTGAATGCCCGAAATCTACTGAGACCCTCGGCTCCGCTAGATGCTGACCAGACAGGCAACGTTCCATTAATATGCAGCGCGTCACAGCCTCGTACCAAAGCCAGACCGCGTGCGTCAGCATCGCACCAAGTTCAGACAGTGTCCTTCCAATAAATAGCTTGAGGCCGTTGTATTTTCGCACCCACACGCACTCACGCTCTCTCACTCGCTTGTTCGGAATATAGCTGTTGTGTTCCCTCCTATGAGTCTTTTCTACGGCACTAGGCACTGGAGTGGGTTCAACAGTCAGATACAACAGACTTGTGAATCAGATGATATAGCAGGAGGTCATCCGTACAGAATTTCATTGGCGCTTGGGAAGCCGTAGGTAATTTCAGGTTCAGTTTTCTGCTGGATCCAAGTGAGTGGCGGCGGATGAGTAAGCGAATTGTTGTTTAGAGTTCTCAGCTCAGCAGTGGGGCGCTTTTTTACTCAAGGTGGACGCGCCAATCGGATCCCTGATAGTTCCGCTCACAGGTGCTTACGGGGACCGGTATCACAGACCAACTGATATATTAGTTTATTCCCGGCTTTGTGTACCTCCTCAATCTCCTTAACCTTTTGTGTTCACCGTGAAGCTTCAAGGTCGGTGCGCACGCTCACTTTCACTTGTCGTCTGATGATTCGTCGCTAACTTATTTTTAGGACCGGTGGGGGCATTTATCAGAGGTTCAAGTGGTGCCACATCTGTTTGATATCTTGTTGTTGAGTTAGCCTGGTAGCGCCGTGCCAATCCCATCACTTTGCAAATATGTGGCGATCTCGTCCTATCATGAAGTCACATGTGATGGTGGAGCTGTTGGAAGGGACTCGAGCAGACGATTCTGATAAATGTGTCCAACTTCCGAATCTGCCAATCTTTCAGTTGCTAAGCGGTTTGTCCGCACCTTGTGCGCTCTTGAAAAAATGAGAAGTAACTCCGGACGAGCGCATGATCAGAATTTACGTATCTGTTTCAGAACGAGCGGCAGTCTGTTACCGATCCGCAATGATAGTGATGCGATCAATTTGGGCTCGTGGCTAACACGGCGTTAGAGGACACTATATGGCCAGACGATTTAGGTTATTTCAGAAGTCGGCACTGTACAAAACTAGTCTGCAGTATGTAGATAGTTAAAGCAATCCATATCGATCGCCCAACGTAGTCTCAGATGCGCTAAGCCTGCTTACTTATGCATTCAGATCCTCGGCAACCACCACAGCATCTGATCTTGTAGTTCATCTCAACAGGACATTCAAGGCATCATAAAACTTGCCTTTGATGGTGTCAGAGCTACAGTCGATTGGGGCGTAAGCGGACGCAACAAACAGACAGCGATCAACTTCCCGCTTGTGAATCTTCCTCACGGACGCTACCACGCACTAGAAACACTCAAACCCCTTCTTTCAAGTCCACGCGGTTTCCACCATTCTGCTCCTCTTCGGCTTGGGCAACCGGGAAGTATACTTCGCCCTCGTGACTGTTCGCTCACTGGCCCTCTCGTATGCCCCCTCCTCACCAGTCGAACGATGCAGTGACACCAACTCCTCTGCCAATCCTCTAGTCTTTGTTCTCTGTCTGAACCGTTGCTCTCCTAAAAAAATGAAACAGAAAAGATATGATCCATATTACAGCCTTTAACATACCTACTCTATGTCAAATTTGGCAACAGGCGTCTCTTGCTGAAATTTTGCTTTCCCTGTCTGTTGATATGTGTTGTGTCTCCCAAACACGCATACAAGACCCCGCCTTAGTCGTGCACCTCAAACCGCGCAGGACGAGCTCAGATGTTCCACATTTTACTCTCCGGGTGTTCGCTGATCCTAAAGAAATGGCTCATGATGTGCTTTGGGAATTTCACACAGCCCCAAGGCTAAAAGCGCTTTACTAGGTTGGATCCCAGTAAACAGTCATCTTTGCACTGTACGGTTGTTTGGCTCAAATAAGAGCTCTGTAGGTCGATGGGGGTAAACGGCGTTTCGTTGTCATATTGGCATACACCTCGAAAGACTGCATTTTTAAGACTGAAAGGGACGAATCTTATCGAGATCCGTTACGACTGCTTCAGTAAGCAAGAAGGACGGTTATGGTAATCCTAGCGAGTCATGTAAATACTCAGGTTGGACGAATAAGCCCGGAAGAAGCACAATTAGGTGGTAGATTTGAAGTCGGTGCTCAGTGTACGGATAGTGGACTACACGAACTGCTTTAGTTGTGTGGAGATCATCGTCTGTTCCCGGCCACTGTAAACTTCCAACACAAACGCTCACATCGAATAACTTGGAGGCCACCGATCACAAGATAGTCATGGACTCAGTTTGTCGTTCTTGCTTGGTTACGCAACCTGACTGTGATCATTCCGTTATGTGGACTCTATTATGTCACTTCGCTTTCTGTCAGCATTACGCGTGCAAAAGAACAGTTCCATTTATCCACTCTGACAAGTTTCAGTGGCTGAAGAATGTCGAGCTGACTTGGCTAGGAAGCTACTGGAAGCGCACTCGGATACGGATGACGGAGATTGCTTGGAGGCTGAATGGAACCGGGTTAAAAAGCTATGCTGTCAACTTTTAGAACCATCTGACTCAATGAACAGTGGATATCGTCGAGGTCAGCAGATCTTCTTGCGGCCAGAAAGACTATACCGGAAACTGGCGACTGTGGTGGCGCACGCAGGTCCCTCAAACACCGGATAATCATGCACCTGAAGAGTGACGGAGAACGCCGGTGGATTTCGAAGGAAATGGAGAATTTCGATGCAGGCATCATCCGCACCCTATTTTAGCTTATTCGATCAACTAGTCAAAAGAAGGCAGTTGTCAGCGAAGCAGTATGCGAAAGAATACGGAACAGCAGTTCACTCCTTCAATCTTTGTCTTGACTGATGGGCTGAGAACTTCTAAGAACAGTTCAGCTAGTCTTCTTCAACACGACTGTTGTAAGGACCAAGCGGGCCCGAATGGAACATCGATATCTGCCCGCCATCATCAACAGAAATCCAGCGCAAAATATAAATTCTCAGGCACGACAAGGTGTCTGGCATGGGTGGTCTGTACCCTGTACTCTTTAAAGAAGTCCTAGTGACCAGTGTGACATTCATACTGCAGAAGATTTGGAACGAAAACAGAATACCAGCCGAACGAAGCTCCTTGACCGGCATTCCAGTTTTCGAAAGGGGCGCGAGAACGCCATTCGAAAACCGTCGTGGCATCAGCCTAGTATCGTTCGCATTTCAAGTGCTCTCAGAATATTTTGCGTAGGTTGAAGGATAATCGAGAGAAAGATTCGTGAAAACCAAACTGTGTTTCGCCCTGACCAAGGATGCACAAACCATATCTTAACCTCGAGACAAATTCTTGAACAGCTCCACCGCCTCAAACGCCCTACGTTGGTTATTTTTCTTGATGTGAAATCTGCTTTAAACTCTCGATCTTGAGAAGCTTTAGTGATGTATGGCGATCAAATCTATATCCCTTACGACGGTACCGCATGCGAATTCCTCTAGGCGCGTACGAGTATATAGAAAGCCTTCGCCTGAGTTCACCAGGTCCAGTGGTGAAAGACGAGGCTGTTTTCTGTCACTTTTCCTCTTTAACTTAGTTATTGATGTGCTGCTTGAAATTTCTCTGTCTGCTTTCGAAACCTCGGGAGTCAAAATGCTCGCTGGACGTTCGCTCACTGACATTGAGTGTAGGGACTGTATTGTTCTCTTTAGTTTAGATCCTTCAAAAATGTAAACCATTTAAAATAGACCAAATAACTCTGCCGCGTGGTTTGGCATGCGCTTCGCACCTGCAAAATGTAAAGTGCTGCTACAAGACGGGGTGAACCAAACCCGAACCCTATGAACCAATCGATGTGGTAGATAAATTTATTTACCTGGGCAGCTGTACAAGTCCCTGTGCACTGACTACAGATGCGACTATTTCTCGAATACAGAAAGCCAGGACAGCTTTTGCCAACCTCCGACACCTATGGCGCCGATGTGACGTGTGTGTCTGTCAAGTGCAGAGTTTACACTGTGGCTGTGCGATCCACACTTTTATGGATCAGAGACGTGGCCTGTACGCGCAGAGCACATACGAAAGACGTCAGCGTTTGACCATCAGTGTCTCTGAAGCATTGGTCGGGTGCGGTGGGAACGCCGGATTAATCATGTTAAGGTACGTCCGATGGTCCTAGGAAGAAGATAGATGGATGACTCACGCTCCTTAGGTCACGCTAGTTAGGTCATGTACTTACGCATGCCCAAGACCGTCTGCCTTACTGAAGTCTTTTCGCCCAGCCTTATGCTGAGTGGAAGCGACCGAGAGGTGGGCAGTGTATGGCCTGGAAACAAAGCATGAAAACACTAACCAGTAAACTCAGTTGGGTAGTCGACTTCCCTCTCCCTGGATGGGGATCCCGGGACTCAACTCACCAGTAGTTAGCCTAGAGACAGGGGAACTCGGGAGGCAGAGGCTGGGCTCGAACCACGGACTTTCTGGTCAGTAAATTTGCGCTGTAACCACTGAGTTATTTCGCCCCCAGATGGCGGAATGGCAGGGTAATTCAACGTTCGAATTTTCAGAAAATAACCTTGACAAAATCTTGACAAGTAAACTGGTTTTGGGGGATACTGATATCCCCAACACCACTTGAGGGAAAAATCAGTAACGGGCTTTTCTGGGGTCTATCTGGAAAGGAACCGTTTGGTTTCGGCGGCGATCGGTCCGTCTTCTTGGGAAAAGATTTAGGTCCTGGGCTGACGCGTTCTGTATCGTCGCGCCAAGTATGATCGGTTGCAGTTCAAAGGTGTCGAGAATAATGTCGAGCGGTAGGTTTCTGTGGTACGCTAGTGGTTCCGAAAGATGCTATGGATGAAGTTAATTATTGTGTCGTGTCCAGGTGTCTGGCCAGCAGAGATGTCACAGAATACGCTTCGGTGTTTTCGTAAAACTTGGCCTTGGATCCAGTGATAGTGTCTTGGCTGATAGTCCCACGCAAAAACATGTGCCCTCTGTGTCTTTACTGTGGGCTGGGAACGAGTTTTCCGTGTCGGAGACATAGCCGACTTGATGATCCGCAATTTTTGGCCCATGAATGTTTCGGCATGCAATTTTCAGTCTTCCACAGGGTCATTCGGAGTGGTCCGGCTGACCAGAATAAACCCATGGATGTCCCCTCCCCTTGAGATTTGAGCAGCGCCCGCTTGAACATATCGACGAAATGGTCCGTCCAAACTTTTAACTGCCGGTGATGCGGTGGCGAACGGACGTGCGTGATTGCATTTCTCCGACTGAACGCTCGGAAGCAGCTGGGGGTGAACTGTGATCCATTATCCGACAATAAAATTTCCTTCTGGTTGAAGATCTGTGACAGGACTCTCAAGGTGTTGGTTGTCGTTAGGGGGCCACTTGGAGAAAGCATTTACCAAGGTGAGGTATGTTACACCATCGACAGGTCCAGCGTATTCAACATGCACCCGGGACCACAGTCATTCGGGTCGAGGCCAGGTAGCAGGTGACAGGCGCGAATACTTTCTTGGGGCTTGTTGACATTAGGAGCAGTCTGGGACAAAGTCTGAGATGTATCTTCAGTGGACATTGCTTTCAAACCACTTTCCTGACTCGGTTTGGTTTTCATCTTGCCGTTACCAAAGCACCAAGATCATCAATCTTAAACCATATTTTTATGGGATCCACTAGCATAGTGCCGCTTCCTCAATCGCTGGTTTGGAACTCATTCCATCTTCCATTTTGCAGCCACTAGGTTAGGCGGAGATCCTGCTATATACTCTGCATCAGATTTCCATTTGTCACTGCACTGCATCTGGTGCAGCATGCGTATCTACAAGTGTTGGTTCTGCTCGAGTCCAATTTACCCAGGACATGGAACGCTTTTCGTCAGAAATGATTGTAAGGTAAGCCTATGGGTTTGATTGTATTGCAACCACAACACCACTCTGTCGGTGTTGTGTCTGTCCCTTCTTGTTCGTAGAATTTTTAGTTTGTATTGACATGACCGCTTTTTCGACAACAGCAGTACTAAATTCTTCACCATGGTTACCCACACTTATTAGTTAAACCAGTTTCACTCGTTCCAAGAACTCACTCCCGCTATATCCAACTATGTGCATTATCTGGAATTTTCGGTTTCTAGTTTTCGTCATTTATTCAGTTCTTAGGGCCCTACTTGCGGTTGTTTACGCCTTTGATGTAATTTCTAATCGACTTGTCGAATCCTCAGCGCAGTTTACGAGATTGATGTATACAGTTTGCGTGGCAACCCCAATCATCACCAGGTATGGACCGTGGTTATAGCTTTCGCAGTTATGCTTACCGATGAATGATGATTTATGGGCAGTGTGCTCCTGCCTGATACAGTCGCAAAGCGTTAGCCTGTTTCGTGTTAGGATTCCGGTGCGCAAAAACCGCAAATCACTTTGCTGGACAGTACCTCTATACTTCGTTGTCAACTGCTAGGCTGCTCATGCATATAGCCTGGCGAAAAGGGCTGTGCGAGAAAAACTGCCCCTCAGTGAAAGCGGCGCAACCTCAAATGTGGCGGGCTCATCTTCTATGTGATAGTGCTTCCAAAAACCACCTGATGCCACCATCATCATCGACAGCATGACATCAGTGTTCAACACTGATGCTTCACTGCCGTACACCACCTGATGTGGCTAGATACTATTAATTCGATGTTGCTACTTGACTCGGACAGCGCCTCAGGCACGCTAGTGGTATCTTCATGCATTGATCGCCCTTCTGTACCATAATAGAATGAATATTTAGTTCACCAGAACGAACTGCGCCCATGAGTATACGAGAATGATAAAAACGCTTCCGGATCTCTGAACGAGGGGAGTGATTTGTCGGGGCATACTTAAATTCGCTGGTAGATGTCTTTGGCTACCACATTGGTCGGTGCATCCACAAACACGAGATTCAGGTATGAGCGCTGTTAGTTTACAATAACGCATTGGATGTTGTGGATGTGAATCGCATGGCACCGAATTCAGTGGATTGTTTAAAACCATTTGCATTTCTGGAAGACCCAATTCCACGACGCTATATCATCATTACTGCTCGACTCTGACATTTAAAGAACGACGCTATGAATCTGTTAGGATTTAGGGTTTGACGCGCTGAATATGCTTAGTCTGTGGGTGACTGTATTGGTGACATTGACTTCTAGGAGAGCGCGCTTAATATGGGACTGAGCAGACCTTTTACGTCTTAGGTAACACGAGCAGTTGCCTCAGAATCAGATGTAAGGAGAAGCTGGATTCGTGCTGGGTGACTTGGAGTGTGTGACCAGGTTTGACTTACGCATGCTTCTGTTGACGAAATATCTCAAGATGTGCTGTAAGCGCTGGGTGCTTGTGGGGCTGTCTGATATGTACGAACTGAATTACATGGATTTGATAATGTATTATTTTACTGGATTCCTGTGTTAGGCGATAAATAAAATCTGGCTAACTAACTGACGCCTGGATAATCCACAAGTAGTTGTTTTCGAGGTGAAAAGTTTTGGGTAAGGACACTGGTAAACACAGCTGGTTGGCTCATAGTACCAGCGGACTGCTTAATTTGACAACGGGAATTTGCTTGATGAGTCCCGTCTTGGGTCTTTGATCAAAAGTTTGACCCATAAAACACTCGGAGAATGCAGGTTTTTCCGCGATCCTGTCTGTAGCATTCGACCATTTGGTCTTGTCTGAAAGCCAGCGACCAGCGCTTCAAAAATGGAATTCAGTTAAAATCGGAAGGTTTGTCCAGTCGGAAGGCACAGGAAGCAAGGCAAAAATGCCAGATACTTGGTATATGTAGAGCAACACCAGGCTGTTCGTACGAATTATTTATTTTCTGTCGCAGTGAATAATTCACCGCCTGTCATGACCAACGTTTGAACGGCTAGTGTGCAAAGCCTGCCTGTAGGAAGCTTCCCGTTTGTGTTGACACCAACACACCACCAAAACCTAACTAATACCTAACTGCCATTGCAGAGGATACCACGATTTCACCTAGACCACCTTGTTCCGCGAGCATACACAGCACGGGAGCTCGTTTTGTGGCTATACTCGGCTTTGCACTGGCTATATGCACGGCTTTAAGTGAATGAGCGAGCCTAGATAATCATAATTCCCTCATTGATATTATTTTTGTTCATTTCCACCGAATGGAAATGGCTGTTTGTTTTATCCCGAAGACCTTTTGCTGTGTCTTAGACAAAGTTTGTTTGTATCTCTTTTGCTTTTTCGCAGTGTATATCCGTTCTTTGTCTATGCTTCTGCACAAAAGACCACATCCTACGTCACTAAGTCTCAACTATCATATTTAGCAGACCATTCGAAGCCTCGGCCTGGCTTCAACTTTTAGCTTTTTTTGTCTCTCTGAATAATCCTGTCAGTAGTGCCAATTGTCAGTTTCCAGTCGGACCGCTCTGGGTAAATTTTCGAGAGCTGCAAGCTATGCTACGTATAACAGTATGCTAGAACTGACACTTTCCTTGGTATCTGTACGTCATGGTCTATGTTTGGTTTCGTTTGTCATGTACACCCCCAACCACCGATAATTTCATTAATAGTAATAATAATAATAAAATTTCTGTTTGGTTCTAAGGAATTCAGATTCTGCCGCGGAAAGTGCCACAAAGCTTTCAAGAAACATCGAAATCCTCGTAAAGTTAAATGGACAAAAATTGCTCGAAAGTGTCTGAAAAAAGAATTAACAGACGATTTGTCTCAGACGTTCGAAAAGAAGCGCAACAGCCTTATGCGCTACGAACGAGATGCAATGCTCCAAACAAGTGCGCATCGCCCTACACACTAATTATGTTCTATCCGCAGTTGAGGCTGTCCCCAAAATTGTTGGTATTAAGCAGAAGCGAGAGGCTGCTTTCATCAAGAAACGTTTGATGAAAGGCATTGAGATGCGAAAGGCTGAGGATGTAAAGTTGGTCAACACTCAGATGTATTTGATCAAGGCACCGAACGGTTTGTTGCTATACCTATCATTTGCTTAACCTTGCGTTTCTAGCAAAGGAAAAGGAGAAGGATATGGATGTTGAGTCTATGTCATCTGATCAAGAGCCAGAAGAGGTCATGGACATCTCAATGGATAAACTGGAAGGTGAAGTTGAAAAAGAGAAGTCGACGACTGCTCCGAAGAAGGTCACTATCAGAAAGAGACAAAAGTTGTTGGCGAAAGCTTGATTTGACGGTCACAATTTGTACAGTTCATGCCTTGCAGATACACCCTTAATTTTGTTGGCCATCATTTATTTCTGATCTGCTTTGGGTCACCACACAATTCGCGTTTTTACTGTCGACGACGCTCGACCGGCTTGTCCGGTATGGACGCTGATCGGCCTGTTGTGGCTGAATTATATAGTTTTCAACTACTAACCGGGAGGTCTCAGGTTCGAATAATCTGAGACTTGTTGGATGCGTACTACTACTGATTCCGAACACGAATAAAACAGCTTTAGTGTCTTCCGAACTTTCTGCATACATTGAATGTGACAAAACCTCGATTGAAACTTAAAAATCTCTTCATACTGCCACAAGTTTTTGCAACGAGATAAGCGAAGCTCAATCACCTGTTAGATGCAGCATTTTAGCATACCTCAAGAAAACGGCTCCCCTGGGAACTTCGCGCTATGACACATAATACGGCTGAATAGTCTTGAAATCACACAGATGCTCAGACAAAAAGGAGCCAATAGAAATCGAACTGCTCCATTCAAGGAACAAAGTTTTCGACACGGTTACTCGTCGTCTAATCGCTGCTCCCAGGAAAACGTCCAACGCTGTAGAATTGCGAACACGTCAATCCTACATAAACCCTCTTACAGTATTGTGATTTCGGTCTTCCTGGAGAATCCAAAGCTCATGGCCAGGGGCACTTGTTCAACTTCCTCCTGTTGATTAAAATGAAGGAGCACTTGTAATTCAATCTACAACGTTTTTCTCCTGGATTTCGTGATGACTGTACTTGTGAGATGTGTCCTAGTGATTAGAATATGGCAAACGACCACTGATTAATACACTCCCTGTGACACTGCTATTAATTCCAGTGATTTGGCCACATGAACCAGCAGGATTTGCAAAGATAAACAACTATGCTTTGCTAGAAAGTGTAGGGACCGGGGTTGTAGGCCCGTTAGTAAGGGTTAGACATGTGTCTACTCTGTCAAAGCAAACTTTGATCGCGAGAGTATGCGTACCGTTTGCAATGTGCGTTGCTGGGATCAAGGTTGAATAGGCATCTTGTTTCCTACCAGTAGTTGATTAGTACTGGAGTACTAGGTCTCCCTCTTATTCCCCTTTACAGGGCTGTTTTAGTGAACAGCTTTAAGTGCCATAACACGGTTTATCGGAATCTGCAGACAGCCCTCCAGTGGTCGCGTCTCGTTTAGGACTCGTCAGTTGAAATTACCCTCCAGAATGTAACATGATCAATCTCCAAAGCGAATGGCGGTTTAATCGTTAGTTGGTTTTAGGGCTGGAATGGGAGGCTCATTTTCGCTGCCGCGCGTTCGGCTCAAGAACATCAATGTGCCAATGAAAACGCGGGACTTCACTGAGTCTCATGTTCCGGCGATTTTTCTAAGCAATTAATTCCAGAACTGTCAAGGCATGGTTAGATTTTAGTGTAGCCGCCTGCATCACCTCAGTACACCTTTCATCGGGCCAGGTGTATTCTCAACTTCTTGAGTTTTACGTTGTTACAAGCGAGTCAGGCAATCTAGCTGTGATTCCCATTTGAGCACGAATAAACCATACGTCGGCAATTACTAAGGGGTTCAAGTTTTAATCGGGAGGTTTCAGGCCCCAATCTCTCCTCTAGATACGCGGAATGAGCGCTGCATATGATTCCAGACAGGGCTGAAGCCGCTGCACACTGTACTCGTTTATAGTGGGAGAGATTTTCCCTGTTACAGTTTATCCTACGCATTGCGCACCCATTGAAAATCTTCAGGATGTGAAGCCTTGCCAATCCATACTGGTACCTATCATTATGCTCCCTTTTAGCCCACGAAGAAATTCCTGATTTTAATGGCTACGGCATGCGTAACCGCCTTCCCACAACCTGAGCGCTGAACAGTTGGGTCCTGTTTAAAAGCATACTAGCGAAATTCACAAGAACTTTCGATGCGGTGTACGGTGAACACCATGCGCTAAATTTATTTCAATCCAGGTTTATAGTACGACAGGCCCAATCTGAGTGTTCGAATCAAGTTGTTGTTTCTCCTACTGTGTGCTTATCAGTAGCATAATTTTCATGTTAATTCGATCCACGCACCCACAGGTCATCCTGCCCGCCAGGATGGAAAACCGATAAACATTCCTGATTCCGCCTACTTTTAGAAGGGACCTTATTTAATAATCTGTTTTCATATGTCCTTAGGCATGTTACTGGAATCAGTAGGTTTGTATCCTCATGAATCGTAGGAAACCAGTCGCGTCAAAGGTCCACAAATCATAACTCACCGGTTTTCGCCCTCCTTGACAGGATATATGTCATTGGACTTTGGGCATCGAAATGGTATCCATTTTAAACTGGGGTATTTAGTTTGTGCATAAGCCCCTTGAGGAAATTTTATTAATAAAGGCTGAAAAATGCTTGTTGTCGAATCAACGGTGGGAGATATACTATCGTTGAATGGAACCGTCATGCAGGGGAACGAAGGATAGCCTTAAACTAGAACTGGGAGGCTGCCGGATTATTATTAACCATAGTAATCAAGTTTGTTTCCGTGTCCGGACTTCTTGCTTGAGTGTGTTTATGTCATATTCGTCTGTGGTAAATTAATTCACTGTTATACCCAGGTAGATGGCCGATGCGTCCGATGTTGTTAGAGCTGATAGTATCTACACTGTGTCCCACAGAGTCAGTACCGCGTAGCACCTTGTACTCGTCTCACAGAGTCACTTAAAATATCCATTCATCATCTCATTTATTGGTATTTATTTATTACTGACATCTTTCACTGTCCTGATACTGAACAAGTTAAGATCTAATTTTAGCAAATATTGCCCTGCAAGAAACGATAACTCATCGGTTCATATATTTTATCCCACTGTTCTGTTTATCAAAATTGCTCTTTCCTGGGGATAGACCGGATTGCCAAAACAGACTTGAATCCTTCAAAATATGGTTTGAACTGCATACATATACAATTTTGATTTTGGCCAAATGGGTTTTCGCTTGTGTGTGGTTTGATGGAGATTTGGTAACCGCTGAATTCTTTCGTTTTTGTGGAAGATGTACATATTTGTTTACTTTTCTACGTGGACTCCAGTTTATTGCTTATTCGCATTTTCAACGTTGCGTTACTCTACTGCGCCATGGCTCCGAAGGTCGTCTCCGGTGAGGCTGCGAAGAAGGCTTCGAAGGTGAAGGTTCCGAAGGTTGACAAGAAGAAGAAGCGGAGGAAGAAGGAGAGCTATGCGATCTACATCTACAAGGTGCTGCGTCAAGTCCACCCGGACACTGGTATCTCATCGAAGGCGATGTCAATCATGAATTCGTTTGTGAATGACATTTTCGAGCGTATTACTGCCGAATCTAGCTGTCTTGCGCACTACAACAAGCAGTCGACGATCACTATCAGAGAGATCCAGACTTCCGTTCGACTGCTTTTGAAGTTCGTTTGGCATCTATCTCAGAGGTAGATTTTCGGATATAAACTCAAGGGCCATGATAAATTTGTTTATTTGCGACGGGTGCTTTCATTGCTCCCAATAAAGCAGTACAATATGGTTGGGAAGAACTCTCCCGAATTTATGCCAGACCCATACATCAGTTTGAATTTCCTTCCTGATTTTTTTGTGTTTATGAAACCGGTTGTTCATATTGGTCATTTCATTAACCTTCGGGATAAGGCAATACCTGCTGGGATATAATATTTACTTAATATATCATACTATCATCTACACGCTTTACTAAATATCTGCTGTACACGTTACGGACGATCATGTCGAGAATACCGTGCTCGTGCCCTAGTGCCGCCAGGGATACCTTGCTAGCGATGCCTTTCAATCAGTGCATCTGACGGAACTCATTAAAATTCACTTACTGCTCCATCTAAAAATCAAGTGGTATGTACTCTTTCATTCTAATAATAGCTTCCATCAGAGCGTCAAGTTTTGAGCCTGCATAAGAAAAAAAGTTGGCCACAATTTGCGTGAATTATGCAAGTCGGCCGACTTCAAGAGTTAATCAACAATGTGCTTTTTGTTTTGCATCGATCTCAGTCTGTCTCACATGGTAACACCGAACGGAATCTTGTAAAATGGAAATCTAGGTGCCTAATCTTAGTACACCATCTTTAAACAGAGCGTGTCGCACAAGGGAAAGAAAATTATTCACATAACATACCTGTTGATCCAATTTAAAGACAAGTCACTTGTTCTATTCTGCTCTCTCGAGTTGTCCACCTGGACAATGGAAGGCGGTATGTATCGCTAGTGTGGTAGACAAAACTTTTGCAGAAAAAATCCCACGCGTATCACAGGTGTATTATTCCGGTAATTGTATGTGTTGCAAAGCAACAGACTTTACGGAGATGATGTGCAATTTAGTTAATTTTGAGCAAATGTCAAGACCGAGCTTTTCCACCAATTTCCATGAAGTATGATGGATCCGAATTTCTAAACACTATTTCTCAAATTAGGTTTTTAGGTAGAACCGAATCCTTCCAGATGGAACGACCGGGGGTAAATCATCTGTTAATATGAAGAATTTAGGAAATGCTCTAGCGCCGCGGTGACAGCCGATAGATAGAGGATGTACTCTCATGTAGATTAATATGAAATCGTGCTTCTCGCGTCGGACGATAGAGACACGCAGATGGACAGTATTCTCAGTATGATGATCATTACTTAGAAAACAGCTAATATGAGCAAATAGAGTTCGGAGTAGTAAGATTCCCCGTGGCTGACTGCTAATTAAGTGATAATAAAGTGTAGTAATGTAAGACTTCACAAAGATGTAGATACCCAGCATGTACAATTCAGACCTTATTGCTACTATCAAGGAGATTGCGAACATCTTGCTGTAAGCACAATAATCTTCATCAGTGCTTCATGGAAATTCTGAATTCCGATATAGAAATTTCAACTTGTACCTGTGGGTCACGCTAACCCCTACCGCAAAGAAATGCCTTCTAATTAAACACCTCAAGAGATTCAAATAGTATGAACTATCTTGGATACCTTGTGCGCTTTGTTGTCTGTAGGCGCTTGATGATTTTGAAAGTATACACTGAAAC